GGGGGGGGGAGGGGAGTTGGCAGGATAGAGGAGGAGACGGTCAGGACAGCACAAGGCAGCTGGACTTGCACAAGACAAAGTCAGGGGACCTGAGGAGGATCTGAGCCCAGAGTGACCACATGGCGCGACTAGTCTTGTGGAGGTGGTTGAAGTTGCAGAGCACGACCTGACAAGGGATCGTCACGAAGGAGGAGGAGGACGAGCAGCAGCCGCTCTCACGCCGTCAGGAGGCAGGTCGGCCCTCTCCCTCTCCTCCCTGAACGTTTCGTTCCTCCTCACGTACGGCAGTCTGTCTGTAAGAGCCCAGTCAGTCCCACCCTTGGGCTGCGTCTCCTGCTCCACCTGGATCATAGCGGTAGCTGTTGGCATAGAAGGTCGCTGGTAGGTAGGCCATTTTCTCGGTGTAGTAGACCTTGCAAGGAGGCTCATGACGACTTTGACAAGCGTTGAGTTGAAGACTCACTGACAGCTCGGGTGTTGAGACTGCAGTGTCTGCAAGGAAGTAGTGGATGTATCTTGCACCTGGGAGGCAGAGATGAGCATGTCAATGGGCATGGAGGGTAGATGTTTGAGAAATGAATGTGGAATCATGCGACTACGGAGGAGATGCAAGTTGCAGGAAAAAAGAAGAGGAAGGATGGGGAATGAGAGAGAGGGGAGGGGGGACGGGAGGGGAGAGGAGAGGAGAGGAGAGGAGACAGGACGGGGCGGGAGGGGACGGGAGTGGAGAGGAGAGGAGCGGGGAGGGGAGGGAGGGGACGGGAGGGGACGGGAGGAGACGGGAGGGGAGGGGGGACTGGAGGGGAGAGGGGAGGGGAGAGCAACAAGAAATAATGGAGTGAGGTGCAAAGAAGAGAGGGGGAGGAGATGGCAGTAAAATTGTTACCTGTCGTTGCTCCAAACCCCATGTAGTGCATTACAATAGGCGTCGGGGCATACGCGAAGACTTCCATTCTAACACCTGCAAGAAGAAGTGAGAAGGTACGAGGTCGAGGACAAGGAGAAGGAGATGCGAGGGAGGAGGAGGAAGACAATGGGGAGTGAGAGGAGGAAGTTATTGTTCGGATGAATGTTGGGTTGGATGGACATACAGAGAGAGAGAGAGAGAGGGAGTAAGGAGAGGAGAAGTAGCGAGATGAAATGGTGAGCGATAACGCATAGCGGAAGATCCTCTAGAGTTAGATTACCGGAAGTATGCCCGTTAAGGTCGATGAGGATGTGAATCCCTTCATCGTTAATAGTGCTTGCTCCTGTATGACGGGTTGAGTCTGCGAGGAGCGATGGATAGACAGATAGACAGATGATGAAGAGATGGAAGAGGAAGAGATGATGGAGGAGGAGGAGACGAAGTAGGTGGCGGTGGAGGAGGTGGTGGAGGAGGACGAGGAGCGAGAGGAGAAGGATCCAACAAAATCGACAACAATGTCAGGAGGGGAGAAAGACCTTCTGCAGAGGACAAGATGCTGATGTCGCTCAGCAGAACTCCTCCTGTTCCACTTTCCAGCTGCCAGGTCAAACCGTCACAACTCAGATGACGATAGAAGCGGTACCATCTCCGCATGTTCGATCTGGACTGGGATGAGAAGGAAAGCGTAGACCTGATCGACACGACATGAAAACTCAGTTAACATCCGAGCGAGACTCATCAGACCTCGAACTGTCTTCGGTCGTGCATTCGCAGCACAGCATTGATACTCTTCCCAACCTTGACAGGGAGCAGAGTCATGGGATGTAGGGAATGAGGTGTGGGAGCTGGGGATCTCAGATTCGTACAGGGTGAATGCGGTAGATGTCAGATGAAATGTATCCGATCTTGATGACTGGGACAGCAGTTATGCATGGCGGGTTGTGGGAGGAGCAAACACCTCCAGTCTCCCTGAATTCCTTCCAGAAAACGTTAACAAAGGGCTTCGGCAGCCCCTGGTGCTGAGTCAGCAAAAAATTCCTTTCCTCCCTGTAACTCGTCGACCTCACGAGAAGTGTAGGTGCCGAACTTCTCTGCCCATCCAACACAAGACTTGAAGACCTTCAGGCATGTCAATACTATAGCGCACCTTGCTCGGCCAACATCACCTGTGACATGTTGAAGGGGAAGACCAGTGCGTAGAACGGTAGAACGGGCAACGCATAACCCTGCTCCAGCATCGGATCCCACACGCCGCTGTTCCACATGTTCAGCCATCTGCAAGCTCATCAGGTCCCAAGTCTGTCTCGTTGCAATCGATTCTCTACAGGCGAAAATCTCGCTCCCTCTCCTCAAAGCGGCATGCCTTCGCATGCAAGAACAGTCTGTCTCCTACAGTTTGCACATGTCAAGATGCCGATTGTCGCAACATCGACAACTCCACCAAGGGCATATCCGCGGTTGAGGTTGATGGTGTCCTTCAAGGACGGCTCGAGGCGCACCATGGTGGCGAGCAAACGAAACCTGCTGTTGGGTTCTTCGTTGTTCTTGCACACGACCTCAATCCTAGAGTACAGCTGTACATCTGTGGGATTCTCAGCCAGCGCCTCCATCTCATGATAAATCTGCCATCCTCAATCAGCTGGACTTCCTGCAAGACAGCACCGTGAGATCCCAGCAACCCACCTGGCTATGAATTCTCCACATCTTCTCCGGCCTGTTATCCACGTTCATGTCGAACCAAGAGCAGACATGGAGCAGGAATCTCCAGCAGCAGCACGCACCTCGCACTTCTCCACAGGAGCTTGTCCACGCGTCCCTGCCTCTCCCCTCCCTCCTCCGCCTCCTCCGCCGCCACAAGCAGCAGCAGCAGCCATGCAACCATCCACACCCCTCCATGCCTCCCCGACATGCCGCCCTCGTTGGTGGAACCGCGGAAGCTGGATATCCAGATTTTGACTGACTACCCTACCCTGCCCGACTTTTTTTGAAATGAGAAGGGGTGGGTTTCGATCACGTTACCGGAAAGTACGAAAAGAAATGCCGTTGCGGCGATGAAGGAAGGGAGGGAGAGGGCGAGAAAGAGGGGAGAAGAGGATGAGGAGGACCTGGTTCTGAACTTGATGATGTGAGACAAAAACATGCTGACAGATCAGTTCAAGATCGGATGATGGTTTCCATGCCTGAGGTCTCTTCGACGCTTTAGCTTCCTGCTGAGCCGAGTGCAAACCTCGCACGATGATCGATCCGGTGAGCCGGAATTGGCCGGAGAATGCAAGGATGCTGACAGGAAGGATTCCTCTCGGCAATATAACTAACAAGAAACTTAACGACATTGGTGCTACCAATGCATTCAAGAAAGCGACTACTCGAGAACTCAAGGGGTTCGACGCCCCAATTTGGAAAATGGCGGAGAACAGGAAGCTGCATGACAACGGAAGGATCACACTGAACAGGCCGATGGTACCTCTTGTCTCATCTTCCATGGACACAACATACGACACCAGATCGAACAAGATCTCCAGTGTCTTGCCATCAGTCTTCAAGTCGGCAGACGCCAGGTTGCCGCCTCTGAAGCCCTCGGAGTCACCAGCGCTTGACAGTGCAAGCGCTCATCATCAGACCAACATGGTAGCAATGGAAGTCAAGCGGCACTTTGAGAAGAAGGAAGCTTTCATCGGGAGAAACCTCTCCTCGGCCAACTTTTCCAACACGGCAGCACACAAGCATTTTCAGCAACAGGCTATGGCTGGGACCAAACATCACGATCACGACAATAGGATCCTGCAGCAGGGGGGTGGTTTTTCTGCAGCAACAAAGGAAAATCAGCTGTTGGGCGTTGATTTCTCTGATGTGCACAGGAAGGTGATGACGGCGAAATTGTAGGAACTCGGTTGCTGAAAGTCATGACAGGAGAACAGAAGTCGCCTGCAGACATTGAAAGCTATCTATTGTAACAACAACATCTCCATCGCACAAAATGATAACAAGAGGTAAGATGAAAACTATTCCAACACGCTCCTTCCAGGCTGACTTTGTATGTTTTTCCAGTTCACACCCTGCGAATGCCACTATTGCATCGCACCCCAAGGTACACGGAACTGTCCTGCAAGCCTTGTCTTACGCCGTATTGTTTGTTTTGCAACACGACTATCAGAACGAGGAATGTTCCGCACAGAGCAGAAAGCACAACAAGATCCTGAACTTGCAGAAGAGAGTCAGGTTCGCGGAGAAACTGGAGGTAACTTGCAAGACCCTCCGGGTCCCGGAGGAAGCCATAAATGAGGAGGTATGTACCATCTGCCTACCAGTCTCTTCCTTGACTCTGTTGGCAGGAGACCCCCGAAGCCCCACAGGCGACAGGGACGGGAGACAGGTGCTGTCTCCTAATCCCCCCTCCATCCCCACTGAGCATATTGCTGCAGGATATTCCAACGAAGATCTTTAAATGCGAGCACAGCATTTCCCTCGGTAATGGCTTGGATCCTTCACTGCCCTGCCCTGCCCTATCCGAATCTACCGTCTCCGTTCACTCCACTGACATCAAACCCTGTCCAATTTTCTCCCTCTCCTCTTCGCTTCTCCTCCCGCTTTCCCCCTGACTCAAGACATGTTTCAGGTTGTGAAACAGCCGGAGAATCCAAACCCAGGCAGCACCTTCAGTCGAGGGACGATCGTTATGCTGCGAGGGAACGTGCGTTACGGCGATTCTCTGCTGCCGGAGAGCAGGAAGAAGCCATATGGCCAAAAGCCGAAAGATTCCAAGGTTGGTACTCGCCCCTCCTGTTCTTCCTTCTCTCTACACGGCTCTCCCCATCCTGACTCTACTTTGAAGCGGATAGCCCATTCAGCAGAGCATTCCATCCGTCCAAAGCTTGAGAGAGAAGAGAGGAGGCGGACACGTGAGCTTTTCTTGCAGCGCAAGTTTTCTTGCTCAAGTTTTTTGACGTTTGCCTTGTTCAGAGTCCGAGCAATGCTCGAGAAATCGCCATCCTGCCGAACCAGAAGCTATGCCAGGTTTTCCAGGCTTGCTTCTTTCCCCTCCTCTTGCTGCCTCCTCCCCTACTCTTTCTCTTCCTCCTCCCCTGCCGCTGCCTTGCTCTCCTCTTCTTCTTCCCTCTCAACTTCTGAAAGGTCCTCTGCTTGCAGATGAAGGCTCCTGTGTCAGGAAAGAAGCAGTTAACCCCATGAACGGAACGAATCATCACAAGTGAGTGACTTCTGACGTTCTGACGATCCTTGCAAAGACTCTTTACTCCCACCTCCTTTCCCCTCGTTTTTGCTTCTCCGATGATCCTTGTCCTTCAGCTGAGTCGAGCCATGCAGGCAGTTGCCATCTAGGAGAGAAGATCTCTCCCCGCGTCGAACGCGACCAGGGATAGGAGACTTGACATGAACCGCAGACAAGTTAACAGAGCGACTGCTTGTAGATTTAGATCACAAGTTTTAATGATTTTGAAAGATATCTAGACCAGTGTCGTTCGGGCCCACTCTAAAACTATTTTAAAACAAAAGCTTCGTGGAAAATGGCTAAGTCCTTTGCCAGGAGACAAGCATCCCTTGAGTCAGAGAGTAGCCTGTATCTTTCATCTACCCAGCGAAGCAGTTCCAACAAAGAGATCGAGTAGAAACATCGAAGTGCCAAGTACAAAGCAGCCTGAATTTGCCTGAATTTGCTACTCGCACACTGAATTTGCTACTCGCACACTGGCAGGTAAGAACTCTTCCCTGTAGTTATCCTGGGTCAAAGCTCTGCTGTTCTTCCCAAAAGAATATTTCGTCGATTGAGTCAGTTACATTCTGTTTCAAACATAACTGATCTTTACACCGCACCATGTGGGAGACGTCAAGAAGCAACATTAAATGTTGCTTCTTGATGCACATTTTCATGTCCAGTTGTATTGATGTTACTAGGCGTTTCTAGGCTAACGTACTTGATTGCGAAGGATTCGAAGTTGCGATGACCCCTTCCAGTGGGTTCACCTGTTCTTCATTCATTCTTTCCTCATGTGTCCTTCGCAAAGCTTCTCCACTTCGTTCATCGTGGATACGATCACTGATCATGAGCATTTCATCAGTTTGACCAGTATAACATTTATCTCATTCATCTCACCTGCTGTCAATGTCGTTTGCCTCTGCAGGTGGCCGCCGTATATACTTGTAAACTGTAATGTACGACAAGCTTTCATACTTCTTCTTCTCGTTTTCCTTCTTCCATGAATCATCCCCATAAATTTTTTCTATAAGCTTTTTGTATGCTGTGTCAAAACAATTTTGGTAATTCTCTACAGTGACTTTCTCCTGTCCCTCTAGTCCGCCTTTATCTCTTGCCATGTGCTCAAGCTTCTCCATAACTTTCCGTGCCTTGCAAAAGTTTTGCCGCATCCTTTTCTTGCGGATAAATTCCGGTTTCAACTTCTTCAAAGGGCATATCTTTTTTGCTATTCCATTCTCAACAAATTGTTCCCCACAGTGCCAACGTTGACACAGGTTCTTACAGTCCACCTTCTGCACAAAATCGTAATTTTGAGGAACCATACAGATTTCACCTGTGTCCCACTTGAACAAATCCCCTTGTACTGATGAGTCCGTGCCAACACCCCAGGTCATGTCATGCCCACTGCCGCCGCCACCTGACGACTCCGAGGTCATGCCTGCCGATCTGTCACATCCACCCGTACTTCGCCTGTACTGGAACATTTGTTCAATGCGTCGAGACAATTCTTGAATAGACTCGTTCAGTCGTTGCTCCAATTCCTTTATATCATCTCTCTGTACAGGTACAACACCATTGATTTCGATTTTCTTTAGGATTGTTTCTGTCACAGCTTCAGGTATCTTCGTTATTCCAACCTTCAACTCTTCTCGCAGCATGTTGATTTCTTCCCTTTTTGCATACTTCCAAGTATCCTTGCACCGTCAACAAATTCTTGCCTTCTTTTATACGCATCTCTCCATTGACTTTTTTCTCAGTGACATGTTTCGCATATGCTTGGATGATTTTATCCAAGTTCTGGTCTAAAGTCATCCCAGTCATTTCCTTTTACCCCTATCGCTGTGAATTCCTGATTGTGCTCGAAATAAAAGTCCTTCAATGCGCTCTTTTATCCTTGTAATGCGCCAACAGACAACGTCTGATGTTTGCCATTGTTGGCAGTGGAGCTCGATGCTTCCTCTACCATGTGCTCACCGTCATCGGAGTCACTCTCGTCGCTACTGTCGTCATCGGCGTCTATGTCGCCATGTTGCCCTCGCCTCCTCTTCCTTCTCTTTGTCATACCGGTACTTCTTGTCAAATAGCCGAACAATCCCTTAACTGCCATCCATGAAAGTGGTAAATTCAATTGTCCAGACTCATTCGAAGCGTTTAAGTATATTTCATACTCGTTGGACTCGCCTGCTCTTTGAGCTCTTTGAGCGCGCTTCGCTTTCTTTCGGAGGATATCGACGAGTTTTAGAATTTTGTAACGATATACCTTCTGAGTGCTCTCAGCGATTCGTTTGTTCCTCATCGCATCATACGCATGTATATCTCGGTCTGTTCTGTTAGTAGACACATCCCTCGTGAAAGAGGCTACACTACTTGCATTGTCCGCTGTCTCTGTCCCCAGACGCAATCCATTTTCGGTCAGTGGGGTGGTTTTACGTTCAACTGTTCGCATACACCAACAATACTTTACTTAACTTTTTCCTGGTACAAATTATTTTAGCGCAATCTTTGACGCACGTATCCTAGGAACGTCATGTTAGATAACTTGTATACTACCGGTCCTTGATTTTGCATGGAAAAGTACCCCGTACATTATATAACTATATCAAGTTGCGTGCTTAATAACTACTTTTATACATTTTATTACTGCGCGCAACCCTATAACCCTAAAAGGACAGCAACAGATATATAGGGATTGCGCCATAAAAATTAATTGTGCTCGTACTGATTTTTCACTTCACTTTGAGTAAAGAAGTACCGTACCGTACGGTCTCCCCGCCCGGCCGCCCGGCCGCGGTAGCCCGCACTTGACTAGGCTGACAACTCTGCCCGGCCGGCCCGGAGGCTCGAAATGACCGTTGAGTCACGAGGTCAATGTTTTGTCGACGCGCCGCTTCGGAAGCCTGGGGGTATCAAATCGGACATCAGTCCAACTTTACTCAAAGTTAAGTTAAAGATCAGTACGAGGACAATCCAACGGCTGTTCTGCTCTAAAAAGTCGGAGGCTTCGGTCTCGGTTGACTTATGATTTCACTCAACCCGCTGCATCGGCCTTCCCGGTGGTTTCAGTGAGCCCTCGAATACGAGGGAACCCCCCCAGCCCAGCGGGTTCTGCGGGGTGGTGAGCAGAAGTGAAACACCCCACCCGAGTCAAGCGATTCTTGCCATTGTCACACCACCCCACCCCCTCCAGCTTACGCCGGGCGAGTCACATTTTCATGGAGCACCACCCCTACTCTCGCCCATCCCTATTGGTTACTATTCGCCTGGGTACCTCACCCCTCACCCGGCCCGTACAGTTCGCGACCAGGATCGAGGCGCTTTAAAATGACCCGGTACTGTGTGTAGGAGCAACTACCTATCCGGAGGAGGGGTACTTTAGAGTAAGTCAACTTTGACTAGGAGGTGGGGGTAGGGTCCAACATCTTGTTGGAATGATATCTTTACTGAATCAATTCGGGGGGTGGGTATGGTCAGCAACTTGACGGCAGGGATCGATTTCGATGGGGTGGGGGGGTGACTTAGTGCAAGTCTCCTAAGACTGAAAGTGACCTTGCTAAGACCTCGGTACATATGATAGATATGGATACACAGGAGTAAATGTAAGTAGGGGGGTAGGAGGGCTCCATGAGTATAAAAACCAAGACGAGAAGTAACCAGGAGGGAGGAGAGTGAAAGGTCGAGGATGAGAATGAAGCGACGTGCGAAAAGTTGTTGATGATCGGATTCTAGAGAACACACCATGGGAGACTTGAAACTCGTGTTGCAGGTAGATGTGATGTATGGTTGGTAGACTTGAACATTTTGTTCGAATTGTCTAGAATGCTACAAGTGTGACTCTGAAGATCAGTCGTAGTGATCCTCATGGTTGAAAATCCTCTCAGTCAGTGAACCATGTAACGACTTACTTATATACTGGAGTTTTGCCATCGATGTTTTTTCGCCTGACATTCAATGGCAGGAATCATCATGTTCGATCTTGTAAGGAAATATATGGATCTTGCGCAAACTTCTGTGCAGAATTCCTTCTTAATGATCCCAACTCTCCAATTGGATCAGAATGCAAGCACCTACATAAGCTATGTATATACGGATTACAAATGCGACTCTGGCCTCAGGAGCATTTGCCCAAGAATGGACATTCAAGAGGAGGAGAATTCTACGAATGGCGTGTTGTCTGGATAGACGGTGTTGTTGCGAAGATGTAGAGAGATGTGTTTCGTCGGTCTTGAAAACAGTTTCGTCGCAAGTTGCTGGGTTAGTGGTTCTTCGTAGAGTTGGCTGTGTATATTAATTGAGCGCGGACGAAATAAAACTATGTGTGTTTTTTTGAGAAAGAGTGTTGCGTCGTACAGTCAGTGAAAAAAAGGCTGGCAGGCCGCCCTGAGGGCGATCGAACGTTGGTCAGAACTTGACCTAGCATTCATCGGAGTCACTGCGCTGAGTATCCTTTCCAGGGTCACTTAGTCACATGGCATCACCGTGCCGCTGTCCGTCACGGCGCTTGAACCGTGATGTGAACCTGGCCAGCGGGCGCGGACCGTACCGTCCGTACCAGTGGGCCCGGGGGTGACTGACACGGGGTTGCATCAGTAAGTTCAGTGTTGGTGTGCCGGTCTGCTCCAAGCCTCCGTAAGTTAAAAATCAGTACGAGGACTTCTTTACTCAAAGTTAAGTTAAAATCAGTACGAGGACAATCAGGAGAGTCGAGGAGGCTTGACCCTGACACTGTCGCACAGGCCAAACGGCGAGAAGAGAAAAGACAGCGAGAACCAAACCTAAACCTGCCGACTGCTGTCCCCCAAACTTAACTGATACCTTCACGAGGACAATCATGAATCAGGAGAGCCTAGCCTGAGAGGAGGTTTGACCCTGCCACACTGTGATTGTCGCACAGGCCGCGCCATACGGCGAAAAGAGAAAAGACAGCGAGCCTCGGAACCACTCCTCATCCTGCCGACTGCTGTCCCCCAAACTTAACTGATACCTTCACTTAAGCGCGCAGGACCCGGTGACCGTTCCGACGGGCCGGGCCCGGTGCGCCACCGTGACTGGGCCGCCATGCTGACTGGCAGGGAGGCCGGCCTTGAGCTGACGTCACGGCGAACTCATGCCGGGCCGGAAAGATCCGGATCCTGGACTGGATCATGGCATCGGATGCCATGAAGTGCGCGGCGGCAAGTTTTGTGAAGTGACTCGAGACTGAGACCACGCCACACGGTCC